AGGTAGAAGACTTAGGTCTAGATACAGCTTATATATAAAAAAAAAATTAGTATTTTATCAACNAAGACTTAGGTCTAGATACAGCTTATATATAAAAAAAAAATTAGTATTTTATCAACATAGTTATTATACTAATATATTAAGGATATATATCTATTAACTAGAATTTCTAAATATTTCTTAGTCCTAATTATGATAATAGAGGAGAATTGTATATATAAACTAAAATATAGGTAAAAGACGGTTATTTATTTAGGTGATTCAGCCACTTTATAAACGCTAAGACCATGGTTTTATACAATTTCGAGCCTAGGGGGGGGGCCCGACGAGCCCCCCCCTTCGAGCCGGGGTCTGGGTCGAGCTTGAAAAGTTCGACCCCTAGCTCGTTGCGGGTCGGGTTTCGAGCCCGGACCTTGGGCCCAAAGTTGGGCTTTGCGGAAGTCTAATAATTATAAGAGAGTAAATAATCTAAATTTATAATAAGTAATTTATAATTATATAAAATAAGGATTATTAGTAAAAAATGTATTTTATATAGATCTAATAGATTATAAACTAAATATAGACTTATTATATATTATAAACTAATTAACTATAAGTATTTTTATTTATAAGTATATCTATAAATATATCTATAGGTATATCTATAAGAATATACCTAAATACCTATCTTAAATTATAATTAAAGGATTTAAAATTCCTAGAATAATAATATAAGTCTTTAAGTAATATAATTAATAGAATTTAATAATATAAGCTTATAAAATAAGAATTATACTAATTATCTTTTACATTTTTAATTTTTGCTTTTCTTATTAAAACTTTAATCTACCTATAAGAAATATACTAGAGTAAGAGATAAAGTAGAATCTATAAGTAATATTTTACTTATAAAAAATACTAGGTATATACTATTAACTTAAATATATATCTTTAAGCTATTATAGTATAAATTAATAAGTTAATAAAAATACTATATAATATAATATATTTTAATTAAAATTTTATTCTAAGTTATATTATATATATACTAGTTTCTTATATATATAGATATTTTAGTAAAATTTATAGATATTATAGATTAAAACTACTATTTTATATAGAGTTAGTAAAATAGGTATAAATAATAGTTATTTATCATATAAAGTTAGTGAGTTATATATCTATTTTAGGTAACTTTATATAATAGTAGGTATTGTAGGTATACCCGCTGTGGGTATGCCTATAGGCCTTAGGCGTTATAGATAGGTACTCGAAAATCTAAATAGCCTAAGGCCCACTGTGGATAGGCCTTAGGTACCTCCTAGGTGCCTATGGACGGGCGATGTCGCAGTCTAATCGGGTCTATATAAGGGACAATTGCTCTTCGATCTTTCCTCCCCTTCTCCTTTCTTTTCCTATACTTAGTATTCTCGTTGAAATATACTCTTTTAATTGAAGAACTGGCTGGTCATACCCAACCCTTCGACCCAGTACTGGGTCTGGGGCCCCAAATTGGGTTACAAACTAAGCAAACACGCTAATTATGTGTATAATTCTGCTGACTTAGCTGGGTTATGACTGCCAAGACCCCCTTTTATGTAGAAACTGTGTCGAACTGGGCCTATACTGGGTTTTCTGGGGCCTCAGTCACTGGGTCTGGGTTGGGTTCTGGGTCGAGATCTTCGACTCAAAATGGGGTTTGGGGAAGACTATCCAAGATCATAGACCACCCGGAGGGTTACTGCCAGGTCTACTAGCAATCATTACATATAGCTATTATAAAGGAACTTTGTTTTAACTAACGTCACTGGGCGTTATAGCTGGTGCATTTTTGTTCTATATACCTAGATGTTGTTGTTATAATAGCAATACAATAAAGCTCCGATATATAAAAAACATGGTATCTCCCTAAAGCTCAATACTCCAAGAAAGTGACTCCGTCACCACCCCTTCATAAAACAAGCCCTACTTATATGACATGACTATTGACATAGCAGATTAAAGAATAGAGTGACACGTTCGTAATCAATATCCGACCCAGGGGGGCCAGATTTCGGGACTCCTCTGGCCGGGGCAGCAATAGCTTCCACGTCAACCCTCGTCATGCCAGGGTGCAGATGGATATCATATGAAAGTGTAGTTGCATCGCCAGATGAATGAAGACGCTCCATACCCATGAGTGTCACAATTTTTACCTGTCGCTGGGAAGTACTAGCCGCTAAACGAGGCCTGACCGTCAGTACATTATGTGACGGAGGAAGATGAACTATGATATTCTGTTGCGAAACAAGCGACGAAGGTGGGATATCTAGGCAGAAGTCCGGTTGCAACGACAAAGAGGCATGTGTAAGAATCCGAACATTACGAATCAAAGCTATCCCCGGATCTGGCTCGTAGTTAGCTGGAAGCCCCGTAAATTTTAGTGGGAGTCAAACCTTGGCCCGATCGCCTCAGAAGCGAATCTATGGGCAAGGAGCCGAAATGCGGCTGGTAGGGAGCACGGGCTGCTAGGAAGTTAGCAAAGGCCGGGAGCTAAGTGATACTTTCGGTAGCCGACAAAATGCCCACTAACCCATCTTGCCTCCTAAGCGCAACATACCTGAACTTGAGGATGAATGCAAAGGGACACCCGAAGAGACACCCGAAGACGTATTAGGGGGATTCTGTGAAGCCGACATAGCCAGGGTGGTTGCGTTTGTCATGGAGCCCAGTAAGCCTTGCGCACCAATGGAACTGTTTTGATGTTGCTCTGAGCCAGATGGTGTGGCTGTGGTGCTTGACCTGGGACTGGCAAGTTGCCCCCCAAGAGAACATCCTCGAGGAGATCTACTGATTTCTTGTCTTGCTAATCCAGCCCCGGGGATATCTTGTGCATGGCCTTGGGATCCGTTCTTCGACGTGACATTTGACGGGTGTCCATTGTGTTTAGGTAGTGTATCGGAGCTCTGCCCAGGCATTCTCAAGGTTAACCTCTGCGCCACCGAGGGTACAGCAGTGCCCACTTTTAATTTGATGCGAGGCATATCAAGGGTTCCATCTACCTCAAGGGGATTTGGAACAAGCTTTTTAGCTTCCGCAACCCGGCGGTGGAAGTGATCCTGGGCCTCCAATGTCAGAATGCCGAAGGGGACAGATGACAAGAGCGTCGCGGTATAGGCTTACCTCTAAAACTCCCGCAAGAATAGAGATGTCACTGTCGTCTTCGTTATATTCTCTGGCATTCCGCCATACATAGCTGACCTCCTCTTCAAAGGACTGCCATGTAGGATATGCGGTGGTTTTGGATGAATTCTTCCTACTGTCGGTACCGCGAACTCTCTTTTGGATGCTCCGTAAGGACACGGGATGTTGAATGATCTCATAATAATCCCGGTACAGATTCCGGTCTGGTTTCCCAATGAACGGGTAAGCAACCTCCTGGCCCCTAGGTTGGGTCATCAGCCTCAAGCAAAGGATCGGGATCAATGGTACCTACTCAGAGTCCTTGAGCCGGGTCAACTCGGACATAATCTTGTCCTGTGCAGTCTGAATACTATCACCTTCAAAATCGGCCTCGGACTCGGCCTGTGACTCCGGGGATTGATCTGCTTTCTCTGGTGGCTCTGAGTCCAGATGCGACGATGCACGATTGGACTCTTTGGAATTCATGAAATCATTGTTCTATCACACGCACGGCAGCTTGAATTAGCGATTGAAACGTGTGAGCTGATCTATATGCGCAAAGAAACGATATAGGGTAGTGAATGAATATTTGAATAGTGTATGTCAAACTGCCATAGTCACGATGTCGCGATTGTCCTCCATTCCAGTGTCAAGTGCTAGTCGATATGTATGAATGCAATAAACTGATACGTACGGAAAACTTTTGGCGTTTCGTTCTACGAAACTTCATATCTGGGGAAGCTGCAGCAGCTGCCCGTCGTTTTGAGGTCATCTCGGATTACTTCTGATAACGTCCCGAATCGCGAGTCAAGTCACACATTGAAGATAGTTATCTGTAACTGAAGATCACAAGGGGACTGGCAATACAGATTTGATAAACAGAGGGTCAAATTGATTGAAAGAATTACAAGTAATGATAAGAGTATGGCAAAGGGAGATATCCATATAGACATTCCTCGGACGTGTTGCAGACGCGTCTACGGAGTCCTCCCGCCTTAGGTAAGACTGGTGGGTCTATAGGCAGGTATAGTACAGAGTACGTATCGGTACACCTAAATACGTATCGAAAGAACGTGTTTATACGAGGTAATTTATGGATAAGGTATCAATTGATTATATAACATAATACACATCCATCCATGGATGCATAACTTGAATATCACATGATCGACCAGCAGCGATTGGATTGACACCTGAGGCGCTCAATGGTTGTTTCCCCCACTATTTTCCCAAGTCCCGCAAAACAAGTCCGGTGATTGTTGTTTCTACAACTCACACCTACTCTTTTCTCTATCGCATCGCACACCCTTATTCTCACCTGATCACCCATCCCTGATACATTGATTTCTCAACATCAGACCACCTTACAGAACCATAGGGCCCCTATAAGAACCCTGTGAGCGTACGTTTTAGTTGCCGCTACATGCGATAGTCATTTAGCCACATTGTGAGCCACATCCTTGGGTTACTTATTTACTGACCTTTCTACTTGAAATCATGGAATAGACTGATATTGACAGTCTATATAGCTGAGAGATCTTCTCATCTCACCATCCCAATGGACATCGACCCAGCTAGGCGCAACAAGAAGCCCCGTCTCCTCTTGGAGACGGAGCGCGAGAAGCTTGATGAATTTGTGGATTCCATTCACTACTCGGCAAGGTCAGGACCCAATGCCATTGCGATAGACTCTCCATTGACTCCATATAGATATAACGATGACAAATTCGAATACCGCCATGTGCAGCTCCCAAAGAACATGCTCAAAAAAATCCCCACAGACTACTTCGACAGCTCTAAGGGGACTCTGAAATTGCTTTGGGAGGAGGAATGGCGAGCTCTGGGTATTACACAAGTATGTTGAACATAATTCGAGGATGTGCATCGGTTCTAACAATGTACGTGCAGAGCTTGGGGTGGGAGCATTACGAGGTGCATGAACCCGAACCTCATATTTTATTGTTCAAGTCGGTTATCTTCGAACTGCTCCCTTGGCTGTGTCACTAACCGTTTTGTAGGCGCCCTCTTAACTACCAACCCCCTCTGCAACAATAAGTTAGTCATTGATTGGCGGCATTGTGCTTGGAAATATGAGCAGTTGAGAAGACATCGCTTTATGTTCCTTTATGTTCGTTCATGGCAGGCACCCGCGTTCAAAATATTGCTCATTAGCGTCCACAAAAGCTTCATACTTGAAGTTCTGGAATGAGACCAAGTTTCATTTTCTCCTTGCCCGCCATTTCATTGACACGCTAGACCAGATGCTCTCTCTCTATTATGCGCTACGGAAGACCGGCATCTGTCTTGTCACGGACGCCTGAACTGTGCTAGTGTGATCATCAAATTGCGTCTTTAGCCAGTCATCATCTACTGGACAGTGGCGAGGCTGCTACTGTCACTTCCCGAACTTGATGTGGGTGTCTTGAAATGTTATCCCCAGTCAGGTTACCTAGCATTGAAGAATACTGTAGGTGAGACATGAACCTTCTCTGCTTGGTCCCTCTACTCGATGTCGGGGGAGGGGAAAACAAACAGACCAAGTATTTGCAAAGGGGCAGACAGATAGATGCATACCTGGACCATCCACTTGATATCCCTGGTCATTTGGTTTCCAGCTTTAGTTGCCTCCCTGGATATTTTGCTAGTGGTTAGTACACTACTAAATCAAGTAACTTCCTCTCTTATCAATTCTCACGCTGCCTGTAACTTTTGCTGTTCAGTCGCATGTCTTTTTTTTGGGTCACGCATCTAATTTATCACACTGGAAGAACATGGTATATTGTACTGGGCTAACCATGCCTCATATCCATGGCTGTTTTTGCATAAATCTAGAAGTAGTCTCAAATTCATATTGATTCCTTAAGTCACCGCGGAAGATATGCATGTACATAGTATTCACAGAGGGCAAGATGGAGGGGGTTTGAGCTCAACACACATTCCGTGGACCTGAAAAGGAGACTAATATGCTTTGAGCCTTGAGATGAAAACTCTTGAAAATTCCGGGTATATGTGATCAATTTCCCAATGCTTTCTGTCTCCTCATGTTTAGATCCTTGAGCGTCATTTCCACTGTTCGCCACTCACGCCTGGCTGGATCATACTCGCCTCTCACCTCAAATCGACAAAATCCATTAGGCCCCTTCAACCCAACTGGGCCCGTGATAAAGAAAGCTCCGCGGCGAGCAGGCCCCGGTGTCTGGGCCTGTTCATGGTTCAATCGTAATTTGAATGCCTGTGATGCCAAGTGCAGATCCGAACCCGGGCCGAGGTCTGGCAATGGCAACCGCTGTAACAAAGATATAAGGGAAGATGGGTGGTAGTTGGAATTCTCGGTATTAGGCGGCATGTTTTCCTTGAGCCCGTCGGTCAGGGGTGGTTGTAGCTTAGATTGATCTTTTCGGCCAATCCAGTTCCCTCTCTCGCCACTAGGCGCGGCAGAAGAATCATTCAAGAAATCGAATACATCTAGTGGCTCCCCTGTAGGTTTCCTGAAACGATCCAGTTGCCTTAGTAATAGTACCAGATACGCATCTCTGATTGCTAGAGCAACATGAACTGGTTTCATGAAGGTCTGTAACCTGTCACCTATCTCAGGGTCCATCGGCTTTGTGGCCCATGATATACTGTCGTGTTTAATTTCCACCCTGTCTACTGTCAGTACAAGAACCAAACCCTTGGAGCTCAGGAGTACATACCCTGATCGAACGTATCCAGGGGGGGCACGATTTGGAAACTGATGAACAAGCCAGAATCCTGTGAGGGAAAGAGGCTCCCCGAGTATCTGTGACATCTGCCTCCCCGCATTATCTAGAACGATTGTGGCGAGTTCATCTAAACTTGTAAGCGAATGATCATGAGCGGGGATTCGCTCCATTTCTCACCTCTAAGCTTCTGAAGCTTCTTCCGATCCTTCGATAATTTCACAAATTCTTGCCACTCTGGATCCGATGCAGTGTATAGCTCGCCTTGTTGCAACCGAGACCAGGCAAGCGGTATAAATAGCGCCCCCTCATTTTTGACTTCTTTCCCGGTGATTTCTCTGCTTCCTAAGGGGGTTTGACGTGGGGCTGTCTCCTCGGAGTTCGTCACAGGAGGTGGATCGGCATCGTCGCTATCGTCGTCAAATCGCACTAGCACGAATGTGCTCCAAAGGTGGAATGCGGTGCCGTACAGAAGACATTTTGATATTAACGACCTGAGGGATTCCGTGTCAGTCTAACCAAAGAGACCTTTGGTTGGCTTTAATGTGGCCTCTTACCTAATCCAAGGACGCCTAAATCTCACATGTCGCACATTTTCTGGGGGGGAGAAGTTGGAACGAGCGTGTGTAGGACTGAAGAGAGACGAGCGTGCGTGAGGACTTCGAAGCAGATACCTGAGCCGGAGCATTGGGAAAAGCCAATCCCTGCAATGATTCTCACTATAGTATCATCTCAATTTGAAAAGAAAGGAAGGGACAGAATCCTTGAAGCCTGATATGTACGAGGATCTGTGTTGCGAGTTTGTCAATGGCGAAGGGCTCGGCTCCTCGGTGGATTATGTAACATGAGTGTTGCAGCACCTGGGGCTTTTACCCATACACATACGGAGTACATACTACATAGTTACATCTCCGTGGATAGGTACCTCTGATGACCTCTAATGATCCCTAGGAGTGAATAGTATTACTACTAGAACAAATTCATGGGCTAGGATTCTATAACATGGATATCACGTGTATAGGTATAAATATTTGATTGAGCAGTCAACATACATACTAGACCACGTGATAGCTTAGTGATATCTTATCGGATGCCCCCATCGTCCGTAGCCAAATGGTATTCTGTCCTTGACTCCTCGCCATTGTACCCAACAAATCTCCAGATACTCTCAGAGGAGAATCTTGATGTTGGGATCACTACATCTGCCAAAATAGTATCGTCTTACCCTCCGACACTCCCGATTCTAGCAATATGCGCTGGGTGTCCACCTTCTTTGCCCTGGCATTAACAGGTGCATTGCAAGCAAATGCACTGGATGCTACAATCTTCACGTTCTCTCCCAAGACTGCAACCTCTCTAGCGGCTAGCCACCAACAACAAACAATATCAGAAGATGAGGCCCGGCTTGTCTTGGAGCTTCGCATGAAGTCCTCTGTAGCATCAGTCCTCGGAACGGTGGATGCGGACACCGTGAACCACTTGAATCAGTTTGCTCAAGATGATCTCAGTCTCTTTGGGGGAGTCACTGGGGGGATTGCTCTCAAGAAAAGTATCTTTATTCTGGAAGGGATCGACCAGGAAGTTGGTAAGTGGAAGCAAACTCACACATGACTGGAAACTCTAGCTAATATCCCTGTAGCCCTAGTCATGCAAAAAGCCCAACCAAACCATCTTCATATTCCTCAAATTTCTTCGCCCTTTGTCGGATTTGATCTCCTGGAATCATTTACCGAAAGCAGCCCCACTGCGAAAGGGGATCGCGGACAAATCTGTACATACTTCAACGATGCTAGCAGGGCTGCATCATCGACATCCCAGGTAGCCAAGCCGACTTTAATGACCTTCATGTTCCCTCGCTAATCTTCCAATCATACCAGACTCCCAAGGAATGCCTGTCTAGGGACCCCATGTTTGCTGATGGGTCTGATTTGCTTTCCCGTGACTCCCTTATACTAGTTGATTCGGTGGAATCCTGGATAAGCAAGGATCACAAGGATTCGGCTTTGACGTTGTCCTTTAAGGTATCAAGTTTCCCCTACCTAACTAGTGAATGATTTCTAATTCCACGTCACCAATTGCAGAATCCGTCTGGGGATTCTCTTCTTAGAACCAAGCTTCTAGAGAGATTGCTTCTTCACCTAGCTCAAGTATCGTTGAATAGCAACCGGGAAATCACGACTGTCATTCTACCCTCCGGTTTCAAACCAGAAAGACTCAGCCGCCGAGGCGCGAAGCAATCATCGGCACCAGTCACCCAGCAGAATGCCTTCCGGAGATCGACGCAGAATTCTGCGCTGCAGTCAACCTTAGCGCCTGTCTGTCATGCTTCAAACTCATCGTGTGCTGAATCTACCAATGACTGCTCCGGGCACGGTTCCTGCTATCTGAAATATGGCTCGGGTGCCGAGGGGACCACAGGAAATTGCTATGCATGCCAATGCAAACAAAGTGTTGTTCAAAATAGCGATGGCACTACCAAGACAGTTCAGTGGGGTGGATCGGCTTGCCAGAAAAAAGACATCAGCTCACCTTTCTTCCTTGTTGCAGGTGTTAGTCTGCTTGCCATCGTTCTCGTTGGTAGTGCGATTGGAATGCTTTTCAGTATGGGCTCACAGGAGCTACCCAGTGTCATCAGCGCCGGCGTAGGGGGTCCGAAATCCCAGATCTGAGCATATGGAAAGCTGTGTAGGTGTTGGGGTGTGGTTTTGTTTTAGTTTTGTTTTTCTTGCCGGCTTTTCAGGGGGCCAGGGCTTCATGTTCTTTTCCTCATTTACCCCTCGATCTATAAGCAAAATTTACTCTGCTTTGTTTCTGATTACCCTTTCCCTACACTGCATCAAGGGGGAAATTCCGGTTGACTACGGCAGTACATACATGTAGTGGTGCAAACTATTTTAGGGGAAACAACTATATCAAACGAATATATTGTATAGCATGTACAAATGATAATTCTCTGTACGTGCTCTGGTGTTGTGCACTGGTGCTGTGCACTAGGAGATATATAAACAGATATCCAACCAATGCGCAACCCACCCAACCCGCTAAAATAGACCAAGAATCAGGGGGGAAAGAGTCGTTGTCAGCAGCACCACAGGGCAAAGTTCCTTGTAGTATGAAGTAAGGTAGGAGTGAGACAATTCGTAAACTTCCAGCCGAAAGAGAATAAAAAAAGGTCTCCATGATACACATGCGCCCCCAGTCCAAGTTGCACAAAAACTGATAAATTACACATGTCAACTCATAAACAAGGAAAATAAAACTGCAGCCAACATCCCAGATGTGGCTTTGGCATAATAATAGATTTGCAGATTAGTCAAATCGCGAAGGGGTATGAAAAGGATAGCAGTCAGAGATCTATCATGTGGTACCAGCTTCGACTTGACGAGGTGTGCGTCCTTCCGAAGGCAACGGATCCACAGGCGAAGTCCCAACTGCAGGTGGTGGTCTTCTTGATAAGGGAGAATGGAAAGAAAATTGGCGGAGCCGAGTGGGAATCAATCGAGACCAAGTAGATTGAGTCGAAGAATTAGAGACATGGACTGAGTCCCGGGGCTGATCTCGCCCACTCTGCATATGATGTTCCCGGGCTGGAGACATGCCTCTTTCCCCTGGAGATGTCGATTGAGATATTCGGGGAGGTAAGCCCATCTGGACCCGGAATCCATTTGCCCTGCCACTATTCCAAGCAACTCGAGGAGGTCTGAGGATTGCATCTGGGCGGGTCGAGGCTGTACGGTGACCCTGGCGATCTGTAGCATGCTGTGCGTCGGTCTGTGCACGGGGTTTGGGGACATAGTAATCGGCCTTGCATAGAGGGCAACATGCCCTTCTGCTAGTCAGCCAGGGGTCGACACACGAGGCATGGAAAGCATGTCCACATGCAAGTCCCCGGATATCATCATCGTCCTCAATGATATCTAGGCAAATAGCGCAAGAATCGCCAGGGTTGGGCAAAAGATCAGTAGGAACAGCATTACGAATGTAGGCATCATCATCATGGTCCTCAAGACCAATGTTCATGCTTTCATTGGCCAAAGAATGCTGCCATTTCTCCTTCTGGGTAATTGCACCGGTGGATTGCTGAGTAGAAGGCATCCCAGATACTGCAGGGCCCTTCTCCAAAACCGGCACCAGAGGCCCATCCTGCAGCTCTTGAATGGGGGTTTGTGATGTGTCAGTGGAATCCACCCGTCCGTGGCCCTTGGTGGATGGTGACATTGCCGCTGTGTGAACCCCAACGGCTGTTGTCACCATGCCACCATCATCTTTTAGGCTCTGTGGTCTGCTATTCGGAGCCGTGATACCTCCTTCCGTTGAAAGACCCTGGTTGGCGCGAGTTGATCTCCACACTTTGTACTTGACAAGTGGAAACCGCCCGTTGACTTCATCCATCGTCATTAGCCTTTTCTCCCTTCTCCTGCGATGAGGTCGTGGCATGGTGACCAAGTCAATGGGCTCTCCTACTTCCTCACTGCGGAGCTGACGGTTTCGTTGGCTATATCGAAAGCAGTATTTGACTCCAACAATGATCCTGCGATGACCGTCAGATGTCATCCCTGAAACACTGGAAGGCCCGTTGGCCTGGACAGAGGGGTTATGAAGCGACATACCATAGATTTGTGAATACAACACCGAATCCGAGAGCGACGAAGAACAGTAAAGGTGAGCTTGTAGCATTATTTGAACCCGAACCCTCTCCGCTACTAGCAGTTGTGGTGGCAGCACTGCTAGAGGCTGATGTTGGTGTTGAAGACATTCCGACTAAAAGACGATATGAAAATGACCACACTGATTCCACTCGGAAGGCGGCCACTTGATTATTGTTGGAGTCTCAGTTGCCCTAATGTCGATCCTTCATGCCTTGAGTTGTGTGTACAGGGCAACCCTGTATGTAAATATCGGGCTAGACTCCAGCGGATCAAGTCTAAGGCGACGAGAAGGTGGATAGGAATGATCCAAGGGTATGTATCCCATGGGACGGACTGATTATTTGAATATTAAACCTGATGGCCTGTGATGGGTGATTGACCGTAAGCAGAACACACAGAACTTCCTGCGAAGAGAAGGTGAATGCCGAGAGTCCTCATATCATTATCAGTAGCGAGATCAGAAGACGCCTAGGTGAGGTGAAGAGAGATAGGATAGAAGGATAGAGAGAGAAGAAAGATAGAGAGATAGAGAGAAAGTGGATCAGGCCCTCTTTTGATTTAAGGATGCATGCGGGATCGAGCTTGACGCCTGAGGCTTGTGAATCACGGGACTTGATACGAAGTAGTCATATCTGATTTTGAAAACATTTGGACAGGTAGGGATGAGACCTGGGCTATTTACTTTCCCCCCCCCCTTTTTTTTCTTTCCTTTTTCTTGATGTTCTATTTATTTTCAAATCTTATTGTGCATTGCATATTATTGCATATATTATTGCATAGCCACCTTAAAAAGGTACATATAGTGGCCTAACTATAGGGAGCAGACCAGTTACTATGTACTATCTGGTACTGAATACATGAGGATTACATTGTATACGCCTCGGTTTACTCTATATATCAAATATAGTTACTTACATAGGTACATCCAGGGCAGTAGATACTACATAGTACTGTACATAATATCTAGTGGTGATTTATCAGTTCTTGAAGAGGATTAGAATTCTAGTGTGTGATCCTCATAGAAAGTCCAATTATCTGACTTGCCATTTTAAAACGAAAGAAGACTCGACAGTTATACAGATATACAAATGTGAAAGGTGGACAGGATACAATTCCCACATGGCCGCTACACCGCTCCGTGATTCCCGCCCCTGGTTCACCTGCGAGGGAGATCTATCCAAATGCAAACTTTCGCTCTTTCATCACATCTGCACACCCCCAGTCTCACTATGGCTGAACCCAATCCAGTGGTTTTCTTTGATATTGCCCTTGGAGGTAAGTCAGGCTTTTATGTGCATGCTTGGACCCCTGAGTAGTCATTTGGTATGAACTCCGCTAAGTAATATAATCCCCGTATACAGGCGAGTCCCTAGGTCGAGTGAAAATGGAGTTGTTTGCCAATGTCACCCCACGAACCGCGGAGAATTTCCGTCAATTTTGCACTGGCGAGAGCAAGAATTCCAAGGGACAGCCCCAGGGCTACAAGGGAAGCAAATTTCATCGAGTGGTATGTGATCTGGCTTCTTGGATATCGATGCGGAACTAATGCTTGCTGCAGATCAAAGATTTCATGATCCAGGGTGGCGATTTCATTCATGGCGATGGGACTGGGTCATGCACTATCTACGGCACCTCGAAATTTGCCGACGAAAATTTCACTCTCACACATGATCGTGCCGGTTTATTAAGTATGGCTGTAAGTCTGAACACCTTGGGACTATCTACCTAGAAGGGAACCTTTCACTAACAGCAATAGAATTCGGGCCCAAACACCAATGGTTGCCAATTCTTCATAACAACCACGGCCACACCATTCTTGAACAACAAGCATGTGGTCTTCGGCCAGGTGATTGATGGGATAGATATCGTTAAAATGCTGGAACACACTCGTACTACTAAAGACAAGCCCAACCAAGATGTAACTATCGTGCAGTGTGGAGAGATGTAATACTAATTACTACCCAAATGAGGTGATATCTGGGAAACAGCCTACAAATCCATAGCGCCTAAAATTGCAAAAGATATTGAATTGTGGAAATACATCAATTTCATATGGCTTTAATAACCAGGGGCTTTTTCTCTTTTTCTCTTTTTCTCTCTTTTTTTCTTTTTTGATATTTCATGGTGATCGGCGCAGACATGTGATATCTCCGAATCCAAAAAAAAGAAAGAAAAAAAAAGGACTTCACAGAATCCTGTCCTGAGATCTAGAGCTTGAACTTGTTCAGATAATCCGCAGCCAGTGAGATAGCCTCCTCGACCTTATCAGCGTTGGTACCGTTACCAATGGAAGTAGGTCCCTTTCCTCCTGCTTTTCCTCCCACGGCACCAGAGACGACGGCGGCCCAGTCGCTTGCCGAAGCACCTTGATCACTCAGTCCCTGTGTTCAAATCAGTATAAGAATCTATAAGTAGTGATGTTTCACCATTTGCTTTCCCTCGGGGTAAGACTGATATATCCTGTTACTCACCTGAGAGATGTAACATCCGTGTGAAACCCGACCTTGTTCAGAGTCGGCCGCCAAGAGATAGACACTCTTGCCCTGCATCTTTGATTTGACATGGTTGAGGGATTCGCTGACAGCCTTGGCATTGGCAGAAATCGGAAGCTGGACCACAAGCCACGACTTATCTTGATTTTCAGGAGCCTCGAAATAGGATGTGATAGTATCAACTGCTTTCTTCGATTCCAGTTTTTGTTGGGCCTTTTGGCCATCGAGGACCTGCTTATTGATCTTGGCAAAACGTTCGCGGAACTTGGCCTTTTGGACGGCGGAGATTGTAAGCTGGTTGAGATCCACCTGGACTTGCTTAGCCTCCTGCTCCTTTTCGGAGCCCAAAGGCAACGCATTCAGGCGATCAAGGCGCTGTCCGAATTCTTCGGCAACTCTCTGCACTTCATGTGCATCCTCTCCAGTGACGGCAATAATTCGGCGAATTCCCTTGGCAATGCCACTCTCCTCTAGAATGACCAAATCCTTGATGTCGCCTGTCTTCTGTACATGAGTTCCACCGCAGAATTCAATGCTAACTTCCTGCCAACGGGGATCTTTGACATTCTGTAGGATTTCCTCCAATTCCACACCGACAGAGACAACACGAACAGGATCGGGGTAAGTCTCGCCGAATACAGCCCTAACGCCGGAAATTTGCTGGGCAGTAGCGAGCGGAACATCTTGGGAGTACACAGCACAGTTCTGTCGGATATAATCAGTCGCCTTCGCTTCGATCTTCTCGAGCTCGGCGTCAGAGATTGCGCTCTTGTGGGAGAAGTCAAATCGAAGCTTCTCGGCAGCCACCAAGGAACCCTTCTGATCAACACCATCGCCTAGGATTTCCTTCAGAGCAAAATTTAGGATATGGGTTCCGGTGTGGTTATTCCGGATGGGCCAGCGTCGGAGCTCATCATACTCGCAAATGACAGAATCTCCGACAGCAAATGATCCGTATTTCATGAAGCCGGTGTGCAGAACGTATCCGGCGTAGGATTGCACATCGCCAACTTCAAGCTCCGCTTGTCCGTCAATGATGATCTTTCCTGTATCATTTTCCTGACCACCCTGTTCGGCATAGAAGTTCGTGCAGTCGAGAATGACGCCAAGCTGTGCCCCATCGGGAACATCGTCAGTGCTATTGTGGAACGTTTTCCCATGGTAGATAGCCTTGACGTGAGAAGTGATGTTACCTCGGCCAAATTTAGGCGAATCATCCGTTTTTTGTACGTCGTTCATTTTCTCCAGCTTGCCTAGATCATGAACATCAAGCTTAACTGTGCTCTCAGCAGCCTTCTTCTGACCCTTGCTGGCTTCCTTCGCCTTCAAGCGAGCCTCTTCAAACTCGGCATCATCGATGCGGAGGCCACGTTCCTCGGCCATGATCCGAGTTAGGTCAACAGGGAAGCCAAAGGTGTCGTACAGTCTCCAAACATCGGCACCGTGAAGCATATCGGTGCCCTTAACTTTGGCCTGTTGGGCGTATTGCTCAAATTGCCGCTCACCTCGATCCAAGGTCTTGGCAAATGACAACTCTTCCTCGTCCAAGATTTCGATGACATCTTGCTGCTTGCGCTTGAGTTCCGGGAACATTTCACCCAATTGATCCACAACGGTCGGCACTAGCTTAGCGAAGAAATTCCCAATATCGACCTGGAAATATTTCCGGGCATACCGAGCTCCTCGGCGTAGGACACGGCGAATTACATAGCCACGACCCTCGTTGTTGGGAATGACACCATCCGAGATAGCGAACATCAAAGTCCGCACGTGGTCCGCGACAACACGGTAGGCCGTGTCAATTCCATCGGCATCATCGGCACCAAAGTGACCACGGTATTCCCGGGCCCCAGTGGTATCCTGGATAGCCTGGAAGATGGGAGTGAAGACATCGGTATCGTAGTTGGAAGGTTTGTCCTGGAGAATTGACACCAGTCTCTCGAAGCCCATTCCGGTGTCGACGTGTTTGTTGGGAAGGGATCTCAAGGAGCTATCCGGCTCGCGGTTATATTGGATGAAGACGTTGTTCCAGATTTCCAGCACATTGGGGTCATCTTCATTGACGAGGTGAGCAGCGTTGCGCCCACCGATCCGATCATAGTGCACTTCACTGCAAGGTCCACATGGGCCTTGGTCGCCCATTTCCCAGAAGTTGTCTTTCATATCTCCAGGAAGAATATGAGATTCCGGAACACCCACTGATTTCCATAGTTCTTTAGCTTCCAGATCCGGTTCCAATCCACCGGCTTCATTGCCCTCAAAGTACGTAACGTAGAGGCGGTCGGGGTCTAGCCCGTAGACTTCCGTCAAGAGGGTCCACGAATAAGTGATAGCTTCTTTCTTGAAGTAGTCGCCAAAACTCCAGTTGCCGAGCATCTCAAAGAAGGTCTAGAGACTTCGTCAGCACTTCTTCTGTTAAATGATAGAGATAAAATTTCAATACTGACATGATGATAGCTATCTTTGCCAACATCATCCAGATCCTGTGTCAGGTCAGTCAATATACCAAAGCCCCTCCAAGACCCCTCTTAGGGTTTACCAAGGCACACCCACGTTATGTTTTCCACCGGCACGGAGGCACTATTCAATTATATCAGCAAACGTTTCAAGTCGGATATTTTTGTAGTAAAAATAACCAATACCTTTTGCGAGTTCGTTGCGCGCTTCATCTTTCCAAAGTCCGACGAGGCGTCAACGGTGCCCAGGAAGATGGACTTGAACTGGTTCATTCCCGCATTGGTGAAAAGAAGAGTCGGATCCGATAGAGGAGCGACAGGGGAAGAAGGAACTGTATACAAGAATAGCCTCAGGTCAGTTCATGTCGCTGGTGGGGGTGGAGGGGTAGAGTAAAGAAAAAAGAGAATAGGCTCAACCCACCAAATGTATGGCCATTTTGTTTAAAATAATCTAAAAAGGTATCTCGGACTCGCTGAGCAGTCCACTCTGAACCGAGAGAAGCCATCCTGTCGAATGTTGGAGGTTTGGTTGACAGGGAGTGAACAAAGCGAGGAGAGAATGTTCTGGGTTGATTTCTGCGAAAGAGATGAGTCAAGGCCCGTTCCCCGTTCGTCACCACCCCAGAAACCCGCATCGAGCAACGAAAGTAACTTGACCCCCCGGATCTGTGGACTTGAGAAATTCAACCACTTTTTTGTCTTTTTTAATTTATCACACACTTCCCCCCCATCAAAAAGTTACTCGAGAGAGATAGAGAAAGAGAGAGAGAGAGAGAGAGAGAGAGAGGAAGTGTGGATGGCGGATGAGAAAGGTCACGGGAAGAAGCGCCCGGCCGAAGCTGACCCCGATGGCGCGCAACCGTTAACGAAGAGATTTGGACACCTGCGAATAGGTAGGCAATTGAAAGTGAAAGTGGTGGAAGTTGAAGTTATCAAGTTAACATATTTGTAGATAATAGCGCGCCAATCTCCGCTCGGGCCAAACCCAAGGGGCATATTCATCCTATCCAACCTATCCAGCCTATCCAACATGTCCAACATGACCACATTGACCATCACCAACATAATCAACAAAACCAGCATAATCAACATAATCAAGAGCTTTCTTCCAATGATGCAATGATCTTGGATGATACCAAGCATACGATCTACATTCACAACCTGGATCAAGAATTAATGGAAGCTGATTCTCCTGGTTTGGTGTTTTTACCATTTGCAGAGAAAGTGCTCTCAGTCCCTCAATCCGTTCTATCCGATTCGAACCCCTCGGGCAAAGAACTCGTTCTTTATACGGAACCATCTTCCCTCACGGTTCCCAAGGAAAAAGATAATGTTCGAAGAGCAATTCTTGAATCTCGAGCACGAGCTAGAGAGAACAAGGTTACGGAAGATTTATATGATGATCCAATGGATATTGATTGAAGTATAGAGTACAATTTATGGGTAATTAAGATAGCGAATTGTATAAATTTGGATGTTTCTAGGTACATATGTATGAATAGGATCTGTACATACGTGGTTTACCTAGTTCCCATGTATGTAGGATGTAATCACCAGTTAACCAGTTAAGAATTCCAGGGCTAAGAAGTAACTGGTTACTTAATCAAATTCACGTGACTCACCGCTCCCGAAAAATTTTCTGGTTTTTTTTTGTGGCTCCGACTAAAATATGCACTCGGCTTGATAAAAAAAAATTTCCTCTCTCCCCCACCATCCCTCTTCCCATCCCTCCCTCAAAATCACATCTACAATTTCATAATGGCCGATTCTGAGGTTTACGACGGTGCCGTCGGCATCGATCTTGGTGCGTTTTTGCTCTACTAAATACCATCGCACAACCGCTAATTGTCTTTTTTCTTTCTTTTAGGCACTACCTACTCTTGCGTTGCCAACTACGAGGGCACCAATGTCGAGATCAGTACGCTTTCCAACCCCCAAAAATTCGATCTTTCTCTTAAATACTGACCATTTGATCAGTTGCCAACGACCAGGGTAGCTACACTACCCCCTCCTTCGTCTCTTTCACCGACAAGGAGCGTCTGATTGGTGATGCCGCCAAGAACCAGGCCGCCATGAACCCTGCCAACACCGTCTTCGATATCAAGTGAGTTCTTGTTAAAAAAAAAAAATTTCTTGCGCAGTCTTATCAATTCGAGATTGCGCATTCTCCACAATCCCGAAATTTGTTCTGACTCAAATCGAACAGGCGTCTGATCGGTCGCCGTTTCGAGGACCCCATCGTCAAGAAGGATGTTGAGTCCTGGCCCTTCAAGGTCATCGACCAGGGTGGCAACCCCGTTGTCCAGGTTGAGTACCTTAACGAGACCAAGGTCTTCTCTCCCCAGGAGATCTCCTCCATGGTCCTCATGAAGGTATGGCAAATATATATTTTATATCTGTGGGATTTGTCCGCTAACTAGTTGGGACAGATGAAAGAGGTTGCTGAGATCAAGCTCGGCAAGAAGGTTGAGAAGGCTGTCATCACTGTCCCCGCCTACTTCAACGACAACCAGCGTCAGGCTACCAAGGATGCCGGTGCCATCGCTGGCCTGAACGTTCTCCGTATTATCAACGAGCCTACTGCTGCCGCTATCGCCTACGGTCTCGGTGCCGGCAAGTCTGAGAAGGAGCGCAACGTCCTCATCTACGATCTCGGTGGTGGTACCTTCGATGTGTCCCTGCTGAACATCCAGGGTGGTGTCTTCACTGTCAAGGCTACCGCTGGTGACACTCACCTTGGTGGTCAGGATTTCGACACTAACCTGCTTGAGCACTTCAAGAAGGAGTTCCAGCGCAAGACTGGCAAGGATCTCTCCGGTGATGCTCGTGCTCTCCGTCGTCTCCGCACTGCTTGCGAGCGTGCTAAGCGTACTCTGTCCAACGCTACCCAGACCACCGTCGAGATTGACTCTCTCTTCGACGGTGAGGACCTCAACTCCTCCATCACTCGTGCCCGTTTCGAGGACCTTAACGCCAAGGCTTTCTCTGGCACCCTCGACCCTGTCCAGCAGGTCCTCAAGGACTCTGGCATGGCTAAGAACAAGGTTGACGAGATCGTCCTTGTTGGTGGCTCCACCCGTATTCCTCGTATCCAGAAGCTCCTGAGCGACTTCTTCGATGGCAAGAAGCTCGAGAAGGTAAGACAACACAACACCACTTCATCTAACGTCAAAGCCAGTTACTTATCTCTGATCTTTTTATTTTTATAGAGCATCAACCCCGATGAGGCTGTTGCCTACGGTGCCGCCGTTCAGGCCGGTATTCTCTCCGGCAAGGCCACCTCTGCCGAGACCGCCGACCTCCTGCTTCTTGACGTTGTTCCCCTTTCCCTTGGTGTCGCCATGGAGGGCAACATCTTCGCCCCCGTTGTCAACCGTGGCCAGACTGTCCCCACTATCAAGAAGCGCACCTTCACCACTGTTGTCGACAACCAGAGCACTGTCCAGTTCCCCGTCTACCAGGGTGAGCGTACCAACTGTGCTGACAACACCTCCCTGGGCGAGTTCACTCTTGCTCCCCTTCCTCCCATGCGCGCCGGTGAGGCCGCTCTCGAGTGTGTCTTCGAGGTTGATGTCAACGGTATCTTGAAGGTCACCGCCACCGAGAAGACCTCTGGCCGCACTGCCAACATCACTATCTCCAACGCTGTTGGCAAGCTTTCCAGCTCCGAGATCGACCAGATGGTTGACGGTATGTTTCTCCTGCGGACTGTACTTACCTTTTTGTTATATATGCTGACTTGAAAATTTCTAGATGCTGCCAAGTTCAAGACCAGCGATGAGGCTTTCACCAAGCGCTTCGAGTCTCGCCAGCAGCTTGAGTCTTACATCTCCCGTGTTGAGGAGATTGTCTCCGACCCTGGCATGTCCATGAAGCTCAAGCGCGGCAACAAGGAGCGCATTGAGTCCGCTCTCAGCGACGCCATGGCCCAGCTCGAGGTTGAGGACTCCACCCCCGAGGACCTCAAGAAGAAGGAGCTTGCTCTTAAGCGTCTGATCACCAAGGCCATGGCCACACGGTAAATGCATACATGGGAAGACATGAACATAGACTTATGGCCAACGAATTTTCCTCTTTCCCGGGACTCTACTTCTCAGGGAATCTGCGCCATGTAGACCTTGGGCAGAGTTGGTCTCTGTCACGCTTTGTTTATGAAGCCGGGCAACTTGGGCGCAGTTTTCTTTTCTTGAAAAGTATGATTTGTTTTGTTTTTTGTAGACGAAGTTCGCCATCTGCAATTTAATGACATTGTGATGATTTCCTCTCATTGTAATACTTGGAATACTCGGTAGTCTGTACGTTTGATTTAGATATATACACCAAGTAGAGTACGTGACTTCGTCTTGGCCGCAAGGCGGAAGAGCGGGTAATGTGAGGAGATACTTCTAACCTGTGCGTCTCCGCTCTAACCCTTTTACAACAATTGCTTCCACCATGCAACGCATTATAACCCAATCAATTCGCTCGTTCCCCTCTCGTCTTGTCGCACATCCTCAAGGGACCCAAGTGTTTCGACATTTATGTCTCCTACCGCGAACTCAGTGCGCCGTTCCTCTCAACCGGCGTGAGTTTGCCCATTCGCCTGCTCTATACAAGAAAAAGGACAAGGCCAAGAAAGCTTCTGCTTCTGCTTCTGAGCCAGAGGAAAGCTCTAGTGCTCCTTCTGAAGATCCCTTCGATCTTTCCCAATTACACAATGGCATTTCCACAGCTATTGCTCGGCTAAAAGATGATCTGTCCAAGCTTCGTGCAGGGGGGCGGTTCAATACTGCAGTCTTAGAAAGCTTGAGGGTCCAACTGAGCAAAGACAGCAAAGATTCGGTTAGGCTGGGAGATCTGGCGCAGGTTGTGCCCAAGGGAGGACGCATGGTTACTCTTTTAGCGGCCGAAGAGGATGTAAGTTCATCATGCTTGACCATTCTGATTTTTTCCTTCTTCTTCTTCTTCTTCTTCTTCTTCTTCTTTCTTGTTGCGGCATGGGTCTGCTATTACTATCCCGACGAACCAACTCTAATACATTTTGAGCAGCATTTGAAACCTCTTACTTCAGCGATCGTCTCCTCAAACCTCTCCTTGACCCCTCAGCCCGATCCTCACAATGCCCTCCAGCTCAACATTCCTATCCCACCGCCTACAAAAGAATCCCGGGACAAGAACGTCCAAGCTGCCAAGCAAGCATTCGAAAAGGCTGCCGGTACAGTGCGTGACTCTAGGGGTGCCATGCATAAACGTCTTCAGGATATGCAGAAGAAGAAACTAGCTCGGCCAGATGACGTGCGTAAAGCTCACGATCAGATGGAGAAGGTTACAGATCAGGGCCAAAAGGAGGTGAAGGATGCATTTGAAGGGGCCAAGAAGACATTGGAACAGGCCTAAGAAGCCCAATTGGCAAGACAAGAAACAATTACGGAAAAGAACTATAGCCTATGGCAATGGGCGTTTGTAAAATAGGACTATGTAAATCTAGGTACAAACAGGGGCATAATTGGGGAAGATATGGGGAGAACATAGGAAAAATGAACTCGATCAACGAAACAAATATAATACAAATCACTTCTAGCACTAGTTCACATATCCTTAGGCGTTCTTGGTCTTGCGGCCAGCAGAGACAAGAGATTCAACCTTGGCCATGAACTGTGAGGTCTTCCCGGTTGTCTGGTAGGTCTCGTTGTTCCTGAGATTCTTTGACACCTCTCTCAATACGGCATGCCCATCTTTCCCGACTTCAGACGTGGGATAGGTCCCCTGAACGAAAGTTTCCATGAGAGACTTGGTGTCTTTTGCGTCGATGGGACTAAACTCGACATTCCGAGGCTCTACAAGGTCACCCTTGCGCTGTGAAATTCGATCGGCACGAAGCTGAGCCAATCGCTTGGTCTCTTCCAAAGCCTCGGCCTTTTCAGTCTCATTGTTGAACAAAACGCTCTGGCCCTTCCATAGGCGCCTTCCAAGCTCATAGGGCGGGATATAGCCATTGGCAATGCGGCCACCCAGTCCGGAAAGCTTTTCATAGACGGCAGCCGAGCGCGAGTTCACGTCAGTGGGGATTGAAGGCCAGGTTTTTTTCAGAGTAGAATAGTTGATCTCCTGGGGCTCATAGCGAATGGGGGTTGGCCGGGATTTGATGATTTGCTCTTGCAGAACTTCGTCGATAGCTGCCGCTTCGGCATCTTCGCCCTCGTCATTCTCGGAAGATTTTGCGTTCCTGCGGGGGCCCTTTCGGTTACCCTTGGCCGTTTTGGCGGAGGGTTTGGGTTTGCGATTTGGGGGTTGACTGCCGCCTCGAACGTTGCGTGATCTCGGGCTGCGGATAATCTTAGGTTGCTCTCCACCGCTAGCTCGTGCCGCCGCAAAAGATCTAGCATCAATCACTCGAGGAGGACGGGATTGATGCTGGTTGTTGCGAGCTGGGGGGCCATTGGGATTGCGAGGCCGGTGGGAAGGTGTGGCAGATGCAGGGCGTGTATTGGGTTTATGGTTCTCTAATAGATGTGTGTTAGAATTCAAACTCACAATTGCCTAGATTTTGAGGCACAATTGCACAACTGCATCTATCTTGCTCAATGTCCCCTTGGATGTACCTACCGGATGGTTGGTCTCGATCTTCGGCAGCCACAGTACGAGTACAGGAGAACTGGCGAGCAGGTGTAGAAAGACCGAATTTTGCCCGTTCACAGTGCAGCGAGATCTGCCTCAGCTGTGGCCGAAACATATTGTATTTTGAAAGAATCAAGTCGTGCCCCTAGAACGTTTTGGTAAAGAGACTCGATACTGTTCGACGCGGAAAGATTGAATGAAGAATCGCAGTCACGTGAGATACCGCCTTCCTTTGGGCCTCCGAGTAAACACAGCCATCGTCAAGTCTTCCTTTTGATTCATTGCAATACCTTTTTAACTACCATAATGCTTCGTCGAAAGCCAACAGCGATTGCTATCACTTCTGAAGATATTGCTGCTTTTGAAGAAGCCAGACTTCGCAAACTGTCTGAAGAAAACAAACACCCAGAACAGCACGCAAAGGGAACCTCCAATGTCAACCTTGACCCCAGCGATGAGTTGAAACCACTTCCGGGAGACAAGGCTAGGATTGTCCGGACCCGCGAAGAAAGAATAGGCATCAGTCGGCGTGGTTGACTGTCTACACCGGCAATCTTGAGCCCCTAGATCATCGCTGCATGTTGGAATGACTTGTTCCACATCACCACACTTGGATACGAGGTACATAACCCAATCGTGATATGCTTGCTTGTATTTCTTGACACTTGAGTCACTTCAATCTTTCTATTTGGGCCACATCATTCACCATTAACAAGAAACAAATAGTGCAGGATCTTTTGGCGTCAGAAACATAAACCCCGGCCCATACATTACACCCCATCTTCCTCGTATTACAGCGAGCGAACGAACAATCATAAAGCGTGATGCTTTTCAGCGCCAGATGTTCATGACATTGATATGACATGGGTTTCCCTCTGCCAATATCTATCAATATCCCACCATATCTCACTATTTCTCCTTATGGTAACCCATTGGCTAGGACGTTGATTCAACATTGGAGTAGCGAAATGACACATTGGAATATTTTCTCGACAAAAAAAAAACAAACAGAAAACAATGTATACTACTTTGTTCATCTAGAGCACATCTATCGGGCATCTTGATCAGAACTGATCCTTTAAGTGACCTGTGTCTTTTGGCATAGTTCGAGACTTGTTTCTTTTGATCAGAGGTTGTAACTTAAAAAATGGACATAAAGCAACCAACTTACTGACGAGCGAAGACAAACCGAGAATCCCTTCAGTATAGAACAAGTGCTATCCTACCACTGCTCTACCGATATACCCAGCAATCTGAATGTTGTCTTTTCTACGACTATCAATTATTTTCTAAATCCAGTCTACCGAAGAGACCAATTAAAGCAAGCTTGTGGTGTACAGCGGGATTTATACATCAAATATCATCCCAGCCGGCCAGAGACGTCATAATGTTTGGACATTTCTACCCTCAAACTTTTCCTCAATGAGCCATGCTTATCTCCTCTGTCGATTGTAATAGAAAAAAAAGAAGAAATAGAGAAATTTTTCAACAGAAAAAAAAGGAAACTAGGGAATACAGAGTGACAATAGCAATGGTTGCGTCGGATACTTCGACAAAAACCAGCAGGCCAAAAAGAGGAAAAATTGGGCGACTGAATGGGAGAGAGATATGGTCGTAGATGACTTGGATATTTGTGCGTCTCAACCTCTTTGGCGTTTGGACATATTGTCGGGGCTAACATCAACCGGGTAATTCCATCGCCGTTTCAGCCCTTGTGGATCATAAACACTAGCAACACTTTGCTGCCAGTCTCGTGCTGAAAACACAACTGGGGGTGCCTGGAACTGGGGAGGCGAGAGAGACTGGGTGGACGTGACAGAGGGCACTTTGTTAGGTGTCTCGTACTGGATGGGGTATTGGGGGTTCATAACATTTTGTACACTTGGTACTGAATTGTTTATAGGCATTGGCGGGGAGTTTGCGCTGACGGTAGCGGGGTTCACGGAGAAGGCTATGTCCCATTGACTAGACGGAAAGATTAGTAAGAGACCAAACGATAGTCGAGTCGTCGAGAGAAGTGAACCATGTACGTACGTGATGATTCGGGTCGGGTCCCAGTGGGTTTCATCAACCGAAGGGGTATCTAGAGGATGATTTGTTGGGGGCTGATGAGCCACCATTCCGAGGGATTGTATCTGAGAAGATGCGTCGGACTTCGAGTCTTCAGCACCAGTCGAAATCGGAGGGGTTACCGGAAGCGGATTGTAACGCACTCTAGATTGGAGTTGATTCAAATGCGGATGGTAGTGTGCATCCATAGGTGGACTGGGATGGTAGGGTTCCGAGGGACTCCCGTATGGAAAACTGGGCTTTAACTCGAAAGGGCGATGCATGTCGGCGGAGAACGCTAGTCTTAATGAATCGATCTGAGCTTGAATCTCGGGCATGGGCCAGGCGGTGGAGCACGTCTCGAGAATTCTCATATGACGGGTGAAGAATTCACGGGCATCTGAATTGAACTCAGGGTCGGGGGAGGTGATTGCAACCTGCTCGTATTAGAATGGCCTTGGTACAAAGGGATACCCCCATTAATTGTTGAATGCTTACCAAGTGCAGCATCGTACAAGTCAGGATACAATAAATAGCAAAATTGATGCCCCTTTGCATGTAAAGTAGGCCAGATAGCCCGAACCTTTGCAAAATGGCTTCTTGTAGTCGACAGAGGCTTTTTGCTGAGGAGTAGCACAGTGACATATGGATCTTCCATTCACCACCAGCTGCAAAAGATTGAGAAGCGAAAAGTTGAGGGCGATGTAACATAATTATGGCGAGGTGACAATGAGAATGCATATTGCCCACAAAATGAGATGGGAGCCACGGTGGAGAGCCATCGGCAGGATAATCCACCTGTAGGTCTGGAGGAAGGTTGCGAAGCCAGTCTGCGAAAAGCGGGTTGTTTTGTACAAATCGGGCATCTGCGCCCCAGTCCTTTTGCTTCTTAACTTTGTGATAGATATCTGTAATGATGCGGATGTGATGTGCGTTGCGAACGAAATAGGCGTATTGTCTTGAACGGTCGATCTCGTAATGATCAAGACCTCTGATATCTAGTGTTGGACGCATCTCCACCGTTTCAGGATCGACCCCGTAATCCGAACGGCCTATTTTGATCAGAAGCTGGTTGACTTTGTATAAAATCAACGATGGGACGGAATAGACATACCTTGGGGCCCACCGATCATCACCTCAACCACCAAGAGAGCCTGCCATACTCTGGTATGCACCAAGCATTCGATTGGACCGAGTCCACACGGCTTGCCTTCAGCATGATTGCTGTAATGTTCGTGAATGTCCAAATCTTTTGCCATTGAGACAATAGTCTTGACAGTCTGCCAGGACCGATAATAGTATCCTTTCTTTGGCAAAGACTCCCTTGCTTTTAGTAACAGAAGTAATGCTTGGATAGTACTAAGACGTGGTACATCCATAAAGCTAGTCTCATGCCCTAGGAGACGTTAGCTTTCTGAATATAGGTTGGTCGAATTTTCAGCATCAACTCACTATTGGCCAAGGCAAGCCACTGAGCGCCTTCTGAGGGCTCGTCAGATAAACGGCCCGCACAGGCAAAAAGGGCCTCGAGAAGAAGGGGGGAGATGGAATGGCGATCATGCTGCCATTGATAGTACAGATGGGCACGAGATACAACAGGAACATAGGGGTGTATCTCGCCAAAGTAAATCTTGAAATAAGCCATGACGTCGTCTTCGGCAGGCATGAGCTCAGGGGGAATGCGAATCGTCACGCCCGATCCGGTTCTTAGAGGTGGAAATTGCTCTTCA